AGTAATTAAATACATTATTTTTGAAGTACCCAAAGAGTACCCAGGTAGAAGTGTTACTGGAGGGAAACGTGGTTCTAGAGAGTAATCACAACTGGAGTCATAAAAGTGACAATTCAGCCTATGTAGCTTGATGAACTCCAACAGATGAATCCCTATGAGGAAAGAAGAACAGAAGCCAAGCACAGAGCCTCAGTGACTGTCTACAGCTGAGGGACAGGCGGAGAACTAGCACAATTGGGATAATAGCTCAAGGAGAGGAATACTTAGGAAAGAGAACTGGTCAAAAGTATCAGTTGTTGCAAAAGTAATGGGGAAAAAATCCTATAGTTTTAAGCTACTGTATAATCACAAAAATACTATTTGTCTATCATATTTTTTTTTCCAATAAGGTGTAGAAGTTGGCTCTACAGTCAGTAAACATTTGTACCAAAGAAAAAAACTGAATTCCTTCCCAAAATTGATAGTAAGCCAAAAGGGAGGAAAGAAGTTTAAGAGAAAGAAAGAGAGGGAATGGGTCTATACCACCCAAGCTAAGCATAAATCATGTCAGCAAAAGAGGGAGTGGCTGGGCAGGCCTGGCAGCTGCAGTCACCAGGAATCTCCAGTTGCTCAGTGGCCACCAGGCAGCTACCCAGAGGAGCTTCTCCAGAGCACCTTTGGAACACGGCCAAGAAGAGGTTAGTGAAAACTCTGGGAGAGCATCTGACTTACACTAATTTTTCCCTAATTTAAGATAAATCAGAAGGGAACTCAGAGATCAATACAATCTGATTTTATATTAGGAAACAGGCCCCAAGATATAATTTGGTCACACTTGTATATTTAGTGTCAGAATTTACCAACTCTATCTCCACTCTGGAGAAATTTGTGTTTTTCAAACGTAAACGTTCATAAATTGGTCACATCACAAAGCAGAAAATCGGAAGAATTACTTTTTGGAATTATGTTAATTAAAAAAAAAAAACCCTTTACATTGGACCACTTGAATATCTGCCTTAATTTTCCGTGTGCTGATTTGATAAATCAAGTGACTAGGTGAAATAGAACAAAAATTGTTTTCCTCCATATTCCATGCTATGGAAATAAAGAGCATCTATTCCTTATTACAATAGTGGATTTGCAACAGTAAAACTACAATTGGATGGTGTTCAGAGTCATTATCTCAAAAAAAAGAAAAAGAAAAAATTGTTAAGCTTTGAGGCAAAGAATAAATTAACTAGAGTGAAAGAATTTCTTTTCCAAATTCCAGACAGAAACAGCTTGACACTTTGGAAAGAGGTCCTTATGTGGGTTACAGTGTTTTCCTGCCTTCCTCATTTCCTGTTTTATCATGATCAACCTCAGCTGTTATATTTCTCCAAAGCATACATTTTTTAGTGTGAACAAATTATATTTTCTTTTCAGAACATGTGAATATGTTAGTGTTTTTTTCACAAACAGAATGAGCTTTGGTTTTGCCTATTTGTTTTCATCACTCTCATTATACAGAGAACTGGAAAATATTTTTGAAAGAGGAACAGTCAACAGTGACTCTGAGAAGACCACATTGGTTCTAGGTAGTTTTACATGTTGAACTGTTTTTTTGTATATTGTTGATAGTGTTGTTGACGTGTTTCCTTTCTTTCACACATTGAAGTGCTATATTACTCTAACCATAACTTTGGAACATATTGGAAACATATACACGTCCTTAACCAGAAATTTTGACTCACCAATTGCATTTTTATACAAATGAGCTTTTCAGTTTGGGTTGAGAAAACACAATAGAAGGAGTGACCCTTCAAATAGCAACATTACTGGACACCAATGATTTCCAACTGATTTGATGATAGTGAAAAACATTACCAATTACATAAAGCAACAAAACAATTCTAAAATAATTTTAATTTACTTACGTTTTTAATGGGATAATTATTTGTTGGGACACTTTTGATAGACATTCCCTCAGATCAAACACGCCACCCTGGTAAGATTCAGTGGAAGTCAACAGAGAAAACTGTCCCAATGTAATGAAAGTTGATATTTCAAACATATTTACAACTTAATAAACTAAATGTTTCATTTCCACAGATAAGACACCTTATAAGGCTGGACTTACCAAAATCAGTGGGAAATACTAGAGGAAAGTGGAATGGAATATATGGTACTCATTGCAGCTATCATATTGTAGAACCAAATGCAGCATTAGTCATAATAACAAAAACTGAAAACAACTCAAATATCCAGGAACATTAGAATGAATAAAGTGTACCACATTCAATGATAGAATTCAATATAGCAATTAAAGTGAAAAACTACTGCTATACACAGCCTAATGAAAAGCAAAGGAAGTCACATGCATACACAAAAATACATAGTGTAGAATTCCATTTATATAAAGTTCAAGATCAGGCAAAATGAATCTATAGTACTAGAATTCCTGATAGTAGTTACCTTTGAAAAGAAGGGTGGGGGTAGTGACTTGGAGGCTTCTGGAGTGCTGGTAATGTTATATATCTTGGCTGCAGAGATATTTTACTTTGTGAAAATGCACATTTATGATTTGTGCACTTTTCTGCATGCACATTATACTTTAATGGTTTATTTTATGGTAAGATGGAATAAGTAGATTCCATCTTGTTTCTCCCACTGAAAGCAGATCTGAAACCTGAACAGAGTGCATGAAGCAGCAACATAAGAACTCTAAAAGGAAATACAAGCATAATAGGAAGACTGGGGGGAAAAATAACACCATAAAACTAATAGTGGGCTCATCATTTTTTCCCTCCAGTATCCACCAGTCTGGTGTCAACACAGCCTGTAACCTAGAGGTGAGCATTGTGCAGACAGAGTACACTCCAGGAGAAGCCCTCTAGTTCTAGCTCAAGAAGTGGAAAGGATCTCTAACATTCTGGCCTCTTGCATTCCATTCCTCAAGGCATCCTGGGACTGTGGTAACAGCAACAATTGCAACAAGGGAGACCCTCAGGAGCCCAAAACTCTGATGAAGGAGAGAACCTTACTATCTGATTGGAGGACTTGTAGTTCCAAAAGACTGGGGCAAAGCCCCATTACTTTCTCTCTTTCTCTCTCTCTCTCTCTCTCTCTCTCTCTCTGTCCTCCCACCACTTGGCCCCATACGAAGGAGCAGTCACAAGAAGCAAATCACAGAGTGGGATAAAGCTCCAGCTTTCTAGCCAAAGGACCAAAACAGGGGAATTCCAAGGAACTGAAAAGTGCCAGGGAGATCAGAGAGAGAAAGGAGCCTGGGAAAGGATTTTGTAAAGCTGTTTATGAACTACTGAACTCACCCCTGGGCATGTGTGACTCTGACATAAAACAGTATATCACAGAATTCAAAAACTGCACTGTGGAATAAAGTATTGCTCTGACTTCATACTGGCCACCGAGTGGTGTACACATGGGATAGATATGGAAGGTACTTCAAAGGCTTTGGAAATGGAACTGACATTGAAATCATAATCCACAGAAGACTAGTCAGAATTTGCAGCCTAATCATAACTAGGTTACCTGTTGCTAAAATTGAAAAAAAACAACAAAATCAACATTTTCCATATAACTTTAAGTAAACAAGACCCAAAGCTCTATTGCATGATATTCAAAATGTCCAGGATTCAATCCAAAATTATTCTACACATGAAGAATTAGGGGGGAAAAAAAAGTTGACTTGAGTGGGACAAGACAATTAGTTGACACAGATGACTTTACGGTAGCTATCATTAAAATCCCTGACAAATTAAGGGTGAATACCCTTGAAATAAATAGAAAGATAGAAAATCTTACCAAAGAAATACAAAGCATAATGAAGAATCAAATGGAACTTTTAACTTTGAAAAAGCTACTAACAAATAAAAAACTAACTGGATGTGCTTCAGACAGTAGGAGATTGAACATGACCAATGAAAGAGTCAATGAACTTGTAGCTAGGCCAGTAGAAATTACCTAACCTAAACAAGAGAGAAAAAAGATTAGAAGAAAAAGTTAACAGAGCCTCTAGAGTCTGTGGAACAATATCAGAAGATCTAACATTCATATCATCATAGAAGAGACTATTGTGTAAAAAGCAAGTATTTGAAGAAATAATTCCTAAGCACTTCTCAAATTTGGCTAACATTTAAATTTATGGATTCAAGAAGCTCAGTTAACCCTAAATAGGGTAAACTCAAGGAATCAATGCTCACACATGTAATAATTAAAGTGCTAAAAACTAAAGACACAGAAAAAAATATCAAATGCAACCAAAGAAAACTGATGTATTACTTACAGGGAAACAATTATTTGCAAGACTGCCAATTTCTCATGAAAAACATTGAAGACAGAAGGAAGTGGAATATTTTTTATGTGCTAAATGTACTGTAAACCTAGAATTCTGTATGCAGTGAAAATATCCTTTAGGAATGAAGGTGAAATGAGGATATTTTCAGGTAAAGGAAAAAAGAAGTTTTTGCCAGCAGAACTGCTTTAAAACAAGTACAAAAAATACTCAAGAAAAGTTCTTCAGACAGAACTTCTGTCTGAAGAACAGAAGAGAAAGAATACCAGAAGGAAGCATGGAATGTTGGAAAAGAAGGAAGAATAATAGAAATTAAAACATCCATATAAATACAGTAGGCTACTGTTCTCAAGTTGTTTAAAAGATAAGTAAGGGTTGAAAGAAAAAATACAAAATTATCTCATGAGGATATATATGTATCTGTCATACATGCGTGTGTGTGTGAGAGAGAGAGAGAGAGACTCCATCCAAAAGAAAGAAGGGAATGTGAATAAAAAGGAGAGGGCACAAACAGAAAATAAAACAGTAGAAAAGGTCAATTTTACTACATGCTAATTTTAAAAATAAAATTAATATAAATAAGGAAATTTTTAAAAGTTTATATTTACAAAAAGTTTACTTGTAAAATATAGGGCGCAAGCTTCCCCAAGAATGACTTGAGTATCTAGATTACATCAATGACTAATCTGACCACAAATGAAAACCAGGAAGATAATGATATACTCACCACTGCTTGCCCCTCTACAGTTTCCGTTACTAGAATCCATAGGAAAATCTGAAAGGAAGTGACAGAACAAAGAACCATAACATATTTGTTTTATTTCAAGAATTCCTAAAGATAAAAATCTAACTCAGTCCCAAGTTTGATTTGGGTAAGAATCCAATTGTCTGAAGGAAGTAGACTCTTATTAATGTCATGAGGTTGGCATTCTTATCGTTTGTGGGCTTTGAGTATGGATGAGATCTACTTTTTCATGTGGCTATAAGGAAATACTCTTCTGAATACTCATCAACTGTGCATAAAATTTTAGAATTAATAATTTATTTGAATTTCACAAAATTTATAAACGATAAGCATCCTATCACAATCAAACCTATGCAAATATTAGGCACTCATCCAACACTTATGACTTGATGACAAAAAGAACCAAACACATCTTCAATAAATAGACATATCACACTGAACTGGTATATATTTAAATCCTCAGTTCCTAAACAAACACTCAGAAATCATTCTCATGTCCTTTAACTGCAGGCTAAATAGTTCTTCAGTCAAAAAGAAACCTACTATTTAGGGACTCTTCAAGCCAGTGCAATTAATAGATGTGACAATAATTAGAAATTGCTATTGATTCTTTCTGTGATGCCATAATCCCAGAAAATGGTAATGATAAAGGTTTTCTGTGTTCTAATTAAGAAAACAACCTCTAATGAATAACACTTAGTGCATCAGCAGAGCTCCATGCTGAGAGATGCTGGACCTAGCAATATATCTTTATTGACACTCCAATTCAGTACTTTTATGAGTTTTACATTTGTAGTAACACTTTATGCTAAACTAGTTTAATGCCTCTATTTATTCTCAGAGAAAATAGTATTCTTCCTTTGTCCTTTTTGTTTATAAGTCCTACCAGGAATAAATTAAATGAGGGGTTAATACTATTTTAGGACAATAACCCCCACAATTACAATTAATGAATTACTTTCCCAGGTTTAGTAATCATCCGCAAGTATTTAAAAAGCAACATCCAAGAAAAGATAGCAGTCAGCAAACAAACAGATAAGCAGGTAACAAACACTAATTCTGAAACATTTGCCTCAACTTGGGCATAAACTATTAATTACTAATACTTTCATTATATTCAAACATTCATTTCTGATAAATGTACCCAAGTATTACAGTAACATGCCAGTGGTTTTTCTATTTCTGAATAATCATGTGATAAAATGCATACAAAAATAATGTCTTTACAAAGGAAGAAATTATGTTGGCCCACATTTGAAATGTTTATTATTCAAAGGTAGAAATAAGAGTGAAAAATAAAACTTTGCTTGGTAAAAGGGAATCACTTCAAAATAGCTAAGCCAAGGAGACTGTTTTACTTCTTTCATTCTTCAAAGGAAAATGTTTCTACACTTTTACAAATGCTTAGAAGTCAACTGTTAGAACTGAAAGACAGAAAACAAAAAGTTTCTAATAATTGATCGAAAAAATATTATCAGAAAGTTAAACTTAGGAATTCTAACAACAAATTACCTTAAATGAAAATAGATATTATTAGTAAGTTTTATGCCCCAGGATTTCTAGTGGAGGTCACAGAGGTTTCCAGAGGAGTCCTAAGGAGTTAGGAAATGTAGGGAGAGCTTTCCAGATAGAGAATAGCATTGCAAAGGTACTGGGGTGAGATGCCTGCAAACGTGGCTGAAATGAGACCAGTCTAAGCAGAGAGAAACAAGCTAGAGGAGTCAGAAGGGTGAAATCACGCAGGCCAGAGGAAGACACCCAAGGATTTTAAGCAAGAGATTTGCATTTCAGAAAAAATATCTATTGGAATATGGAGGGGAAACACTGGAAATAAGAGAGACCATTATCATCCTATGGCCATAATCCCAGTGAGAAATGGTGAGGTCCAAACTAAGAAAGTAGCATTAGAGAGGGAGGGAAGGGAATTTGAGTCAGAGTAGACCCAACAGCATGTGATATCTATTGAGTGAGGGGAATGAGGAAAAAGGTAGAATCAAGACTGCTTCCCACAGCCAGGTGCAGTGGTTCACACCTGTAATCTCAGCACTGTGAGGCCAAGGTGGGCAGATCACCTGAGGTCAGGAGTTCGAGACTAGCCTGGTCAACATGGCGAAAACCCATCTCTAACAGAAATACAAAAATTAGCTGGGCGTGGTGGCATGCCCCTGGAGTCCCAGCTATTCAGGAGGCTGAGGCAGGAGAATTGCTTGAACCTGGGAGGCAGAGGTTGCAGTGAGCCGAGATCATGCCACTGCACTCGAGCCTGGGTGACAGAGTGAGACTCTGTCTCAAAAAAAAAAAAAAAAAAAAAAAGTCTGCCTCCCAGGCCTGGACTACTGAGGTATGGTGGTACCTTTCAACAATATAGAAAATGCTAGAAAGAAACAAGTGTATGATGATGGGGAAATGATGAGTTCACTCTGGGGCATGCCAAGACAGAGAGAATAGGGACATGAGAATCTGGAATGTATAATCTCTACTATCTCAAAATTGCTGTGAAGTCAGAATCTCTTATCTCTTTGAATCCATTGTCTAGAAACCACCTTTTATTCTCTTAAGCCATATATAAGCTGACTTCAAAATACAATGAGAAAACCTTTGTTCCTTTAACTGCAATCTGCTAGGCAAAGAATAACAGATTCTCTAGAAAGTTAGGAATTACATTTCTTAAGGGAGGAAGTGTAGTGTAGAACAGGCTCTGCTTTGAATTCTCTTTTTCTTACTAGCTCTGCTAACTCGGACAGTCACTTCGCTTCTCTACATGCCTTGGTTTCCTTTTCTCCAAAATGGGAATAATAGCCCCTACCATGTGGTCATGAGAATTAAGTGAATGTGCAAAATGCACTCATGACAGCACCTAGAACGTAAGTGTTGGTTGCTTTTATTGTGATGCTAATGGTTCCTGTCCTCAGGATGACACGTCCTCTCCCCAATGATGTTGTTAAACATTTATATTGTGCTTTACCGTTTATCAGTAATTTCATGTTAATATTTCTTTTGTTCTTCACAGTCCTCAATCAATGTCAATGTCAAGTGACTAGTTCAATGTACAAAATTAATGGCAAATTTAGAATTCCAACTAAGGGCCTGTAACTCTAAAAGTGTGGTTTTTCCTAAATTGAGGAGATGTAGCCAATTCTTAATTATTCAAAACTATGTCTATCTGTTGGCTCTTGGTCTCCTCATTCTAGACTCAAAGTAGAACCAGAAGAGCCAAATATAACCTAATCAGTTTCACAGTTTGTAGCAACAACTATCTGAAGGTTTAGTGGGAATGAGATAAAAAGTAAATTATTAAAATAAGATTTGGAGATGACATAAGATTACTCCTGATAATGGGGGTTGCTCTAAATAAATTAAACACTATTAGTATAACACTGAGATACCCTTCCCTAATCCATCCAGAGTGCCTTTCAGAATTTTACACAATGAAGGATCCTGAGAAGCATGTTTTCCCTTTCATTCTAATCTAAAATTTCCATTTCTCCTTTCCATTTTCCTCCTCATATCACACTAAATAATTCTTCCTTCTTGGTACTTGGCCCCTCAAATATTTGTAGACCAGGGCTAAAGAAAAGACTGCCTGTTTCTCTGGGAGTGGAGAAATGATTAAATGGCAGCTCCTGCATATGAAAGTTGGCACGGCTCTGCCAGGAGAGAGAAGGCCTGCAGAAACGCGTTGAGCAAGAGCTGGGGAGAAAAGTTAGCACTGCCACAGAAGCCAGCACTGACTGAGGAATGATTATGAAGCCCTTGGCACGGCAAACTGTAGGTGTTGTGGAAATAGCTGTGAAATATCATACCATAAATTTTCTTAACTGCTTGATTCCTGGGTTTCTGAGATAAATTATTTGTAATTAACTCATCCATCAGACTCATTCTTTTTTCTGTCGCTCCCAAAGGGATCTGCTCTTGAGCCTGAGGTCTAGGTCAATTTGTGTAAAATGAAATACTACCTTTATATTTTTAGAAGAAATAAGATTTGTTTTTCCAGTTAAGTCCCAGTGTAAAGCTTTTTTGTTTTGTTCTTCCCCAGAGATGAACTAATAAAAGTTCTAGGCTGCATTTGCATTTACCAACATAACCATTTCAAAAACAAAATAGAAAATGTTAGTCAATTTGTTATAACAGTGATAATAGTAAAACAGCAGCAGCAATTTTTTCAGTGCTTACTAGGTACTAAAGCAATGCTTTATACGCTGTTTAATTTCTTTTCTTTTCTTTTCTTTTCTTTGAAACAGAGTCTGGCTCTGTCACTCAATCTGGAGTACAGCGGAGCCATCTCAGGTCACTGCAATGTCCGCCTCCCAAGTTCAAGTGAGTCTCCTGCCTCAGCTTCCTGCAGTAGCTGGGACTATAGGTGTGCACCACCATCCCAGGCTAATTTTTGTATTTTCAGTAGAGACAGGGTTTCACCATGTTGGCCAGGCTTGTCTCCACTCCTGACCTCAAGTGACCCACACGCCTTGGCCTCCCAAAGTACTGAGATTACAGGAGTGAGCCACTGCGCCAGCTTTAATTTCATCTTTACCATGCCCTTGGGATGTAGATAGTTTTGTCCTGATTTTACAGATAAGAAAACTTTGAATTACAGAGGTCATATACATTTCCTAAAACAATAGTTGATGTGGGGGCAGAATCATTCAACACCTGGTTTGCCCCACTCCAAGCCTATCCTCTTTACTCACCATACAATATTAAAGATTTGACTGAATGTCATCACTAACTTGCTGAATGACTAAATTGAGCTGAGTTTTCAGATAATCAGTTGTACATGTAGTCACACTATAGCAAATATAAAATGTGTAAGATGAATAATAATGGCCAGGATGGAACCCGTTCTTTTCAAAACTATGTTTACCCTTAGTATTTTGAAAGGAAAAAAGTAGTTTCAAGCATTACTCCATTTCAATAAGACTGCTTTGGAAAAGGTCCTAAGCTTTATTGTTTGTGGAGTCATGATATACTATGAGAGAACAGATCCCCATGAATGGGTAGGATTTGAAAATCCTCTTGGCATAGAAAGAATTTGAAATATTGTCCTATTTTATTCAGGGAGACCTCATTTTTGTATCTAGTTGGACAGATACTAGTCAAAAGACACAGGGATTCTGTTTATACCCAAATGAACAAGAAAAAAACCTTGCTTTGTGAACTATCACTTCCCACTGAATCAAAGAGTATATTGGATATTGCATCGTAAATTACACTGGCCACATGTGGTAGTTCCTAAGTAATTCCAGGTGTCTGACAGTTTGACCCAGCATAGGGAATGTAATTTTCAACAAGCTGGCCCTGGAAGCCAGGAGACCCTTCAGGCTACAATCTACCCACTTCATTCTCAATTCCCACCTCCCCACACCTTTCAGCTCCCCCTGCCACCACAGCCTCTGGTTCACACTGAAGCTTATGGAAAGGAGCAGGAACGCCATCACTAACTATGATTCCAACTACCACCTATTTTTCTAGCAAGGATGCTGTCAGTAAAGCAAATATTCTGGCATTTTAAAGAAGCTTAGAAATCAGGTCCCATGAACTGACAAATCGTTTCCATGCATGTCCTATTTGAGTGCTTCAGTGAGGCAACTGTTTCTATGTTTGTTCCACAATGATGGGTAACTCAGGGACACTTAATGAAACTGCTTCCCATCCATATTGACTATGGCTTTTTGAGAGCCATTAACCTTGCCAAACCTCACTCACTCTAGGTCCACCTCTAAGGGAGGTTTAAGAGCAAGTTTTGTGCTTTACGGGGAGGAATGCATTTCAGCCTGAACCACTGCCACCTCATTCCTAGCCCTTGGCCTGAGAGGAGCACTTGCATTTAACTGATTCTAAGTGCCTGGCAAACCAGAGCGGCAACTGCACTGGGCACTTACAGACTTTGCAGTCTGTGACTTCAATGAGTACGAAGCCTCAAGCATGCTCTTTTAGCAAAGATTAATAAGGAATACATTTCTGTGATGATTTTACACAACCAGCTTTTGGTTCTTGATTAAAATCAAGAAGACAATAGGTATATTCAAAAAGTGATAAACTAAGTGAGGTCACCATTAAAAAGTTCTTGAAATTTTTCTGTTCGCTTTTTTTCCTTTGGCTATTTTTACAATTACTTCTCTCTCACTTTGTTAAACGAGTCAATGTGCACAGAAAGTACTTTTTCCAAATCAATACCCTGATAACTAAGAATTACTACCTGGAAATGGACTGGGGACATGTGCCTAGACTGTGCAAGTTGAAAGAAGAAGGAAAGTTGATGCCCAAGAAATAAACAGATGGAGGCAACCAAGTAACCAAGTCAACACATCTAAGAACAGAGTTGTTGGGGCGGGGTATGAAAGAGGACCGCTAGTGAAAAAAATTGCCTTCTTTGTAAAATATATGAAGGGTAAAAATTTGAGGTTTGGGTTAGTTGGTAGAAGTAATACTGAGTTAGAATTAAATGGACCATAATGAAGTAGGTTTAGTTGCAGTCTTAAAGTTACAAATGTCATAATTAGACTAAACACTAGTGAGAAAACAACTTGTGATTGACTCCATTAAATTTAGAGCTGCAATAAAGTTTTATGGTAGAGAAAGACTGAAATGACTGTGGTTGGTGCACACATGGAAAAGGAGCATGAAATAAGGTATTAAAGACAATTTTTTTTCCCAAATATGAGAGTGGAATAAGGGGTGAGATTTAAAATAACATTCCGTGAGTGTATGATAACACACCTTAAATGTAATTCCTTTCATCTGTGTGCCACTTATAAAATGACTTGAAGGCGTGTAGGCATGTGAAAAGAGCCCAGTAGTTTCAGTCTGCCAGCTCTATGGCAAGCACAGGAGCTAATTAACAGTGCATAGCAATGTTTCACAGTTGTTTCATTCTGGAATGGAAGAACAATTTATCTCATTGAAAGGAGGGGGAAATTTAAGGTGAAGGTAATTGCTCAAATTGAATCTTGAGCAAACACATACCCCTAACATCTGTCGGTTAGAGTAAGGTTATTGAAATTATCTTGGCATTTTTAATTAGAAGAAAATGGGGCTTCAGTTTTCTGTTTCCTCCATACAATCTTAACAAGCATCTAAGACACTAAAGATACAGAAACCTGATGACTGAGATTGCCTGAGAATCAGCAAAGAAAACCCAATGATTATAAACAAATTTTAAAAGAAAACGAGCATCACTTTACAAAATGTGGCTACTTCCACATGTAAAGAGTTGAAGTGAAGGATTCCTGTGGAGTATAAGTGTGATGGGTTTGGAATGCATGGATTGTTTTAAAAAGATCACCTATTGGAACAGAGTGCAAGAATGCATCAGTGTGGAAGGTGATAAGGTGAGGGCTTTTTTTGTTTTTGTAAAAAGAAAGAAGAAAGAAGAAGAAGGGTGTTTGATAGAGGAGCAGTTAAGGGAGAGATTAAGATAAGTGATCCGAAGAGAAAAGAATTAGAGTAAAGGCTAGTAACAAGGACTCCAAGAAGTGAGGAGGCTGTAGGGTAAGGGAAGGGTGGGCCGTGTCAAAACTCACCAGTTCCGTCCGCAGTAACGATGGCCTCGGGAGAGATGCACACGCCCCGGTCGTACACCGGCAGCTCCTCGCAGGCCAGGCTCTCCGGCCACGAGTGGCGGTACTTGATGAGGATGGGCTCGCAGCCCTGCCGGGCCCGCTCGCACACAGACTTACAGGGCTTGATGGGCTCGTGCTGGAAGTCAATGGTGCAGATGGGCGCGTACATGGCACAGAGGAAGAAGAGCAGATCGGGGCTGCAGTGGGTGCCCAGCAGACCTTCGAACTGCTCGATGGCCAGGATGGCGTTGGCCTGAGTGCTGTGGTGCAGGTGGTTGGGCATCTTGGTCATGTTCCAGGGCAAGGACTTGCACAGGGGGATGCGGACGGGCTCACAGGCTGCAGCCCGAGCCCCGGGCACCCGGAGTAGGCAGAGAGCAGCCAGGGCAAGCAGCCCGGCCCTCAGCAGCAGCATCCCTCCCGGGCTGCCGCAGACCATGATCCCGGCAGGATGGGGCAGGGTGCAGCCGCGCAGTGGACGCCGAGAGGCCCGCTCCGCCGTCTCCGCCTCCCCCCCTGCAAGTGGACACAAGTATCTGGGAGTTTCTCCTCCCCCGGCAATCACCGCTTCCTTGGATCAAATTCCCCCAATGAGGTCCCACGAGCTTTACCGAGCTCCAGCCGCCGCCCCTGCCGCCCAGGCTGCTCTTTCCCAACTTCTAAGCCTTCGGAGGCAGCAGCATCTATTTATTCCTCTCCCTCTGGCAGAAGCATCAGACTTCGCAGATCAGTCAGATAAGAGGGACACGAGAGGAGGCGAGGAAGACATAAAAACAAAAGTAGAATTCAGCTGAGAGATAGTTGGAACTCTGGGGTGTCACGTCCCCTAGATCAAGCACACAAAAAGATGCTAAAGAAAGCATTAAATTCCCCAAAGTGAGGAGGACAGAGGGGTTGGGGAGAAAGAGGGAGGAAAAGCTCCTAATGGGAGAGAAGGGTGCAGTAAGAGTTTGCAAATCCTGTGGGCTAAGAGCTGCGGCCGTCGCTGCGACTGCGACCCTGGCTGGCAAGAGGGACGCTCGCGAGGAGCCTCGCCTGGAGGTCTGTGCCTCGGCCCCGGCAGCTCTGCACTTTCCTACCTCCGGCCCGAGAGGGAGCTTCCCCCGTGGGGCAGTCTCTGCCCTCCAGCACCGGCTGCTCTTCCCAAGAAAGGAGTAGGCGCCCGGGGGAGAGAAGGCCTGGGGGTCGCAGGCGGTGGGGCGCGAAGGCGTGCGAAGCGGTGAGAGTGCGAGACCCCAAGACAGCGCCCAGTCGATCCGCGCCCTCACACGAGGGAACCCGTCTTTGACCCCAGAGACGAGCCCCTAGCCCCTCACTCAAGAGCCCACCCCAACTCCCTACGGAAAAGTCCCCCTAGTTCCCCACTTGGGATCCCAACCGAAACCCTCCTTCCTGGAGGTATTTCCCTTAAGCAAACTGCAGCTTTTCCTTGCAATCACTGGCTCTGCAGAGAGTCATACCTGGTGGCGGGAAAGGCTTAAGCAATGTCACTTTGTCCAAGTAGCGGAAAAGACAGACCCCTGCGAGCAGCGGTGGAGCCTTATCAACCCAGAGCTAGTGACTACAGAGCTCTCCATTTTCAATAACTGCGGGGAAGGGGAAGGGGGGGGGCGGGGGGAGGATTGCCTTTCAAAAAAGAAAGAAGGAAAGAAATGCTGCGCATGATTACAAATAGGCCACCAGAAGCAAGGAACAGGGGTTTTTTTTCTTCCATTTGTTTCCCCCAGTGGAATTAGAACTTCTGAGTTTTGCTCCTTAAGCATTAATACGGAAACTAACAGCTCTAATGCACTTGGACTTTTTTTTTCTTCTGATTTTGCTCACGAATAATATGGCAGATATTATCTGTTAATAACTCTTCTCAGCAACAATTTTGCCCGACACTTTAAAAAAAAAAAACGTGTAGGAAAACGACATCACGCAGGTAATAATGATTATAACAACAATCAAACCCTTTCCATCCAGATGAGTTCAATCTGGAGGAGAAAATGGAAAACAGATCCCCTCCTGGTCTGCTCCTTCCACTAATGAGCCCCCCTTCCCCCACCCCCGCCCCACCCTCCCCTTTCAGCTTATATTGTAAATGGAATGACCTGCAGAGGCCTTCACACTATGCCCTCTCAATGGGAAATCACTGAGCAAAAGGATTGCCGAATGTCAGAAAACACAGCCTTCATTGAGAGGAGAAGGAAACAAAACCTGAAGCAAAACAGGAAGTCACCTTTGCTCTGCATCACTGAAATATTTCTCTGCTTTAATTTAGCCATCTCTCACCGTCCATAACAAGCAGAGAAAATATGTCCCCACTTCAGAGCACGTAGTGAGATGCTCGTTTCCATTCCCTAGAGTGACCTGACAGCACCTATAAAATGTCAACGCTAACTTGAGTTATGGAATTTTATCTCTAAAATGACCATAAACAGCAGTTTGTGACTGCAGTAAATTTTTTTGGAAGGAAGTTTGTTCCACTTATGGTGGCGGGGGCGAGAAACACCAGATGGTAGACAGGGAGTCAGTTAGTATACAAACTTTCCCTGGTCTGCAATTATCTAGTGTCATGTAAGAGAACAAATTCAAAAATTGTACAAACGAATTTAAAATGATTTACCAAGTAAAATTTAGAGGAAAAACAACTTTAGAAGACAGTCAACATTAGAACATTCGGGGGCTATTCTGTGTCATAAAAATAGAGCTGAGATTTTCTTAAATTAGAAGAAAAAACATCAGGAGTAGATGTAGTAAATTGTTTGCTAAATACATTTTTCTGTTCATCTTAAAAGTCTTACAGTGTAAGAAGAAAGGTGCCAATAGTTTGAAAGGTTCTGCAACTATTTGAAACAAAGTCTGTTTCCCTTCCCCTGCACAAAAGTCAGCTATCCTCTTCGTCTAATAGGTCTCCTTACAACTTTAATCCAAATTTGTTTTTTAAAAAGCCCAAAATAAATGTCACTGTCTTGAGGAAGCCCTTTTGAGTACCTTGTCTAGTTGTGTTCATTTTTCTGGTTAGTTATCCTTGAACAGTGTTTGTTTTTACAAATTATTATTCTTTTTTTTTTTTTTTTTTTTTTTTTTTTTTTTTTGAGATGGAGTTTTGCTCTTGTTGTCCAGGCTGGAGCGCAGTGGCGCTATATTGGCTCACTGCAACCTCCACCTCCCGGCTTCAAGAGATTCTCCTGCCTCAGTCTCCCTAGTAGACTCATAAGCTCTCCACTTGTGAGTCTCCAAAGTCTATTATACCACTCAAAGGTATGCCTTCATGTACCCATAGCTTTGTTCTCATTTATAAGTGAGAACATACAGTATTTCGTTTTCCATTCCTGAGTTATGTCACCTAGTATAATGGCCTCCAGCTCCATCCAAACTGCTGCAAAATACATTATTTCATTCTTTTTTATGGGCTCCACACAACGCATATCCAGGTGAGGACACCTGGCTGTCTGAGAGCTGCAGCATAGCGCCCCCTAGCACCTAGTTGGGACTATGGGTTAATTCTAGGCTCAACCACTGCTTAGGAAGTGCGCCCAGACCCAGTGATGGCCAGTCAAGCTTCTCAGGATGAGCGATGATACCATGATCACTGGCATTTGGTTTAACTTCCTGACAGGTAGGTGTTCCTGTGGCAATGTCAAGAAAAACATCATGCTAGAGTATATTACTTTGATATGGCCATATTACCAAAATTCAAAGTTGGCCAATTTCCCCCTCCCTGCCACAATTTTGCAATGTCTTTTTTTGTCAGTAATTTAAATATTCACATTATTTTTTCATCTGTTTGAATAAACTGTAAACCTACCCTAGGTTTGTGTTAATAAGTCTACCCACATTTTTGCTATAAGAAAATGTGTTTGCAAAAAATGCAAAAGAAAATATTCTTACATTTTCACAAGCAGAGCTAATGTGTAAAATAGTTAACAACTGGTACAGTTGAACACCAGCGAGTCAGAATGGCTGTGGCCAGGCCCATTCTATACTATCAGGGTATCAAGGAGCAAGGAATTAGTGTTTATTGAGTACTTGCGAGTATTTTATGTGAGGTACATAAACCACTTTTTAAGCACATAAACTGCACAAGGTATTAGTTCCAAAGATGAAGAAAATAAGGCTCCATAAGATGAGGTTTCCCAAAGTTATCACAGATAGATAAGGGCCTGGCAGAGTGAGATTTGAATCCATGCTCTTTCAACAATTCAAATTATCTGCTTCATACGCAGAAAAGAGCCAGGGAAAGGGAAAAACCAGGGATCTCTGTGAGCCTGGGTCTCAGCCTGTACCCTGACCACATCAACTGTCAGATATTGGCTCTATCTTCTTAAGAATAGAAAGATGTTGGCCGGGTGCGCTGGCTCACGCCTGTAATCCCAGCACTTTGGGAGGCCAACACGGGTGTATCACAAGGTCAGGAGTTCAAGACCAGCCTGACCAAAAACATGCTGAAACCCCGTCTCTACTAAAAAAAAAAAAAAAAAAAAATTAGCCGGGCATGGTGGCGCGCGCCTGTAATCCCAGCTACTCAGGAGGCTGAGGCAGGAGAATTGCTTGAACCCAAGAGGTGGAGGTTTTAGGGAGCAGAGATCAAGCCACTGTACTCCAGTCTGGGTGACAGAAAGAGACCCCATCTCAAAAAAAAAAAAGAATAGAAAGATGTCAAGATGTCAAGCCCAATGAGAGGCTTTGGATTTCAGATGGGGAGACCTCCTTGCTCATAGCCTGTACCTGAAGTATTCTGCAGACCTAGTAATTCCTTGAGTTCTGTCTTAGGAAGAAGATCTTACCCTTTCCCATCTCCACGCAAACCAATAAAATCTTCCCAGCTGTTCGATGCAGCAACCTTAGGGCAATGATTCTCAAACTGAATCATGCAGCAGAATCCCCTGGAAGGCTTCTGAAAACATAGGTTGCTGGGCTTCATCCAGAATTTCTGATAAGGTAAGAATTTGCATTTCAAATAAGTTATCAGGTGATCCTAATACTGCTGTCCAGGAACAACACTTTAAAATCACTCTTTTGAACTAGATAGTAAGCTTTGATTTACCCCGAGTAAATGCTTTTCATGCTATAAAGATTTCATGATTTGATCTCTTTTTATCTTTTCTCATAGGAAAATTGGAAACAAAATGTTAATAAAGCAGCCTAATAGCTAAATGACTCTCTAAAGTTTGTCTAGATACCTCTACCACTCAAAGGTCATAATAATAGCCCCAGTGAGACTTGGCCTTACAATCAACTGGCCCTCTGGCCTTCATGTACTGTCCTAAGGGTCACAGCATCACTCCACCCCCATTGCAGAAGAAGAATGATAGATCCAGCTTCAAAGAAGTTGCAGAAGGAACCTTAATATCTTAGTGGTGGAATGAATCTCAGCAATCTAATCCACCCCTCTTTCACCTCTGCAACCTCCTAGCCCTCCCCACCATACCTTAATTTGAAGAGAAGACTCGAGATAAAATCACTTACCCAAAATCATGAAGTTAATGGCATGTATGGCAGACATACCTACCAGCAGCAATAACTTAAGCATGCCCTGAGAATGATCCTATGGTCTAAAAACAAGGTGTGTTCGGAGTTGTGAGCTAAGGAATTCAAAAGTGACCAATCCAGAGATTAATTCATTATTTATGAGGAACCTATGAACCCCCAGCCCATCCCATGGAACGCGGGCCATACTGGGGATTGAGGCTGTTTGTTTCGGGTTAAATGAAGGTTGTCAGGTAGGGGTTCCTAAGGAGAGGGTGCCAAGTGAAAATTCTATATAAACAGCGTGCTTTCTAAAAATGGTAGTGGTTCTCCTGTCCAGCCCACTGCCACTGGACTACCCTGTATGCAAGTTCCCTCAATAAACTCCATGTCTCGTTTGCTGCCTCTGGGTCCCTTCTTCAGCTTCTTGAACCTGGCACCATTCTTACTGAAGTCAATAGGGTTCTGGCGTGACACGGCAACTCATATGGTTTGGCTGTGTCCCCTCTGTCCCCAGTAAATCTCACCATGAATTGTAATCTTCATAACCCGCACGTGTCAAGGGCAGAGAGGAAGTCAAATTGTCCCTGTTTGCAGATGACATGATTGTATATTTAGAAAACCCCATCGTTTCAGCCCCAAATCTCCTTAAGCTATAAGCAATGTCAACAAAATCTCAGGATACAAAATTAATGTGCCAAAATCACAAACATTCCTATACACCAATAATAGACAGAGAGCCAAATCATGAGTGAACTCCCATTCACAATTGCTACCGAGAGAATAAAATTCCTAGGAATACAACTTATAAGGGATGTGAAGGACCTCTTCAAGGAGAACTACAAACCACTGCTCAAGGAAGTAAGAGAGGACACAAACAAATGGAAAAACATTCCATGCTTATGGATAGGAAGAATCAATATCGTGAAAATGGCCATACTGCCCAAAGTTATTTATAGATTCAATGCTATCCCCATCAAGCTACCATTGACTTTCTTCACAGAATTAGAAAAACTACTCTAAATTTCATATGGAACCAAAAGAGAGCCCATATAGCTAAGACAATCCTAAGGAAAAAGAACAAAGCTGGAGGCATGACACTACCTCACTTCAAACTACACTATA